AGGACCCTGAGCGGAAGGCAGACGCTTAATGACTGACCCAGGCGCCCCGAGCCAGGCATTTCTGGCCATAAGAGCAATATTCTTGATTCTTTTTCTTCCTCTCTAATTTTTCTTGGTCCTATTCTTGGACTAATCTTCTTTTATCCAATATATAAAAATTGATGTTCCTCAGGATTCCACCCTCAACCTTCTTCTAATCTCTCTGTCTTTGGAACTGTCCCAACCACTCACATCTCATATGCCACTGACTCTCAAATCTAAATTTCTAGTCTTGGTCTTTCCTCCAAACTTCAGATCCAGTTATCCTAGTGCTCCAGAGATGTCTCCTTTACCCATGGCACCTCCAACATGTCATAGTGAAACTTGCCTCATATCCTCCTCCTGTATTCCCTATTTTTATTGGTGGTAGCACTCTCTCCCCAGTCACTCAAGCCAGAACCCAGGGAGTCATCCCTAATCCCTCATCTCCCTCACTCCACACGACAAATTGCTCACCACTCGCATAGAATCTACCTCTAAAATAGTCCTCAGATCTCCCCATTCATTCTCCATCTTCATTGCCACTGCCCTAGGGTCTTTGACAATGGCCATGTGCCCCAATTGGTATTCTGTTCTAGCATCCCTCCCCTTCAATCTGTTCTCAATAGTATCATCAGAATACATTTTCTACAATGCAAAACTGACATTTCTTACAACCCTTCAAGGCCTCCTAATTACCACCCAGACAGATTAAAAATCTCTTGGTAGGTCATGTCAAGTCTTCTGTGGTAAGGCGTTTTCTGACCTTTCACCTTAGGCTCCCAAGGTAACTGAACCACCCGCAGTTCCCATAATGCCTTTGCTTTCACACCTTTGTGCTCCTGCCCCCAACCCCCAACATCCTCTGCCTGACAATCCACCTGCTCCTTTTCACCTGGCTTTTGCTTTCCCAGTTTCTCCTCAGGATTCTTCCCAGTCGTCATTCCTCTGGAAAGCCTGCCAAGGTGCTTTTCTCCCGGGGGCCCCGACATCCCACAGGGACTGTTTTCAGAGCCTCAATTATACTGTTCTATCATCATTGCTTTTTTCATCTTCTCTCCCACCGAATGTGTGCATGCTTAGGCAAGGTGCCATGTTTTCATTCATTTTTTCAACAAATATTCATTGAGTGCTTACTGAGTGAACATGACACACTGGGTCCCTGACTTCATGAAGTTTGATGGTACATGTCTGGTGGGAAGCGGAGGTACAGAGACAAGAAACAAATAATTAAGACAATTTCAGGTCCTAATAAAAGCCGCTCAGAAAATAAAACACAAATTAAAAAGTGACTAGGGGATGGTGCTTTTTTGAAGAGGTTTTCGAAATCCAAATGACGAGTAGCCGACTATGTGAAGACCTTGGGAAGACAGTCCTAGGCAAGGCAGAGCTGGTACCAAATCCCTGAGGAAGGATCCGCCTTGTTATGCAGACAAAACAAACGTGCAGATGGCCAAGGCACAGTGAACAAGGTGGGAGAAGGACAGGCAAGGGGACCCAAGAGAGGCCGGTCTTCGAGGGCCTTGCAGACTCCTGCATTCATTTCCTATTGCGGCCGTAACAAATGGTCACAGATTTGGTGGTTCAAACAACACAAATTTATTATCTTACAGTTCGGTAAGTTAGAAGTCTGACATGGGTCTCACTGGGTTACAACCACAGTGTTGGCAGGGCTGTATTCCTTTCTGGAGGCTCTGGAGAAGAATCCATTCCCTTGCCTTTTCCAGCTTCTACAGGCCACTCTTATTCCTTGGCTTTTGCCCCACTTCCTCTGTCTTCAAAGCCAGCAGTGTGGCATCTCCCTGATCATTCTGTGGTCACATCCCCCTCTAACTCTCTTCAACCTCCTTCTTCTTCTTCTAAGAACTCTTGTGATGACATTGAGGCCATGTGGATAACTGCCCCATCTCAAAGGCCTTAATTTAGTCACATCCTCAAAGTTCCTTTTGCCGTGTAAGGAAATATTTATTCACAGGTTCCGGGGATTAGGACGTGGACATCTTTGGGGACCCATTATTCCGCCTACCACAGACATGGCCAAGACATTTGGACTTTATTCTAATTATAATAAATAATGGCTAGAGAGATTTCAAACAAAAAAGGTGACATGAGCTGGGTTATATTTTTAAGAGTTCATTCTTCGTATTGTGTGTAACGTCTGTATGAGGAAAAGTAGAAGCAAGGAGACCAAGTAGGAGTCTCTCTGTAGTCCCAGTGAGAGACAATAGATTTGATGAGGATGATAGCAGTGAAGATGCTGGAAACTGTCCAGATTCAGGAAAGATTTTGGTATAGGAGAGACAGAAATTGTTGATGGATTGGGTGTAGAAAATATGAAAGAGAAGGACCAAGGATGGGTCTTAGATTTGGGGCTCAATTCAGTGGTGTATGGTGGTGTCATTGACAGAGCATGGTGAAGAATCAAGGAAGAGTGGATGGACCTGGGGCAGAAGGTGGACATTAAGATGTGTCAAGCTGGAATGGCCATGTCAAGTTTAGAATAACCATAAGATATCCAAGAGGAGTTATCAAGTAGGCTGTTGGATTTATGAGTCTGGAGCTTACAGCAGAAAAGAGAGATGGAAACATAAATTTGGGAGTCATCAGCATAATAATGATATTAAAGCCATGAACCTAGATGAGATCATGCAGGGGGAAAATGTTGATACAGAAGAGGGCAAGAGCACATCCTGGAAGGCACATATATTGACAGGCCTGATTCATATTTATAGCCTAGCACTCAGTCCCGGCGCATAGTGGCCCCTCAATAAATTGTTGATGACCACGGGACTGATTCTGGGACTAGCCATTATTAGAAATTAAGTCCTATAAATTTATCACTAAATAGAATATATTAAGAACAAAGGCAGTTAACACGCAAAACTCACCACTTCCTAATTACTTTATTTACATCTTATTATTATCTATGCCCTTGAGGTGAGTTATGTCTCCTGTAGCATACCAACTGGACTTCTGGTGCTGCTGTATTGCTAGCCTATGGTTGGTCATGGTGGGAGTACTTATGCCATGAAAATGCTACAAATTAGAGCTTGACTTCTTATTTTGTCAACTGTTAGACTCAAGAAAGTGATAGAGAAAATGTGAATCATCTAGATTGGACTTAAAAGTGTGTCATGTCTATAGTCATTATATTGTGAATTATACAGAAAATTGAGGAAATCTTTTTCTAGTATGTGAAAAGTATTATCTGATTTAGTGAAGAAGTTGCTCATATCATTGATGAAGGAGTCAGACTCTAACAACTGCCTTTATTGTTTCAATTTCACCTAGCTCAACATAAACAAAAATACCCAACATTCATGTCAGAATTATACTTGTGAATTAATTGCAACCGTAGGTTGGCAAGGAATAAAAGAATCTGGCAAAAATCAATAAAAGCATTCAGTGAGAATCAATTGGCTATATGGAATTCATAGGAGTGATGTATATTTTATCATTATGTTTAAATGGGTGCTGAGCTACACATCCTTTATAATAGTAAAATGTATAATATACTACACACACACATACACACACATTTTTCCCAGAGGACCGGTTAAACATTTACCAGTACACTGGCTTATATCCGAACCCGATAGGCATATGATATGATATGCAGTATTAAAATTATTATATTACTATCTGTTTATGGGAACTCATTAAATATTCATAGCAAATTCATGATCAGTATTTTAAAATGTTGGTAAGTTATATCATTTGGGTTCCCGTAAAATTAAAATGGATCTGTCAAATATCATAAAACCTAGTGAAGTTGATGGCTATAGTTTTTCTTTATTTGCCTGAATTTATGCTTGATAATTGATACGTTTTTTCTTCCTATAAAGATGCTGAGCATCATAGACACTTCAGGAAAAGAATAAACTAAAAATCTGTCTTGGCTTTCTTAAAAGAATTATCTGCTGGTCAGCTAGTATTTGGACCAGATTAAAACATCTAGGCTTTCACTGTACAATATGACCGCCACTAACCACATGTGTGTCTTTAAACTTAAATTAGTTAAAATTAAATAAAATTAGAAATTTAGTGCCTTAATTAAACTAACCACATTTCAAGTGCTCAATAACCACACACGGCTGGTGGCTACCACATTAGAGAGCACCGATTATAAAACTTCTCCATCATCACAAAAAGTTCTGTCAGATAGCACCAATAGAGAATGCCTTCCACATAGAAAATGATTTACAATTATTAACTGAGTGATCAAAATTCACCCTATTCTTTTAAAGTGAAAAGTTAAAGAAATCAAGAATGAATTTTTCAGGAGAAAAGAAACCACCAATAATTGCATACTTGGGTATATTTAGGTATGTAGCATTCAAGGAGGGCACTAACATTTCTTGGGCATCTCCTGTGCGTCAGACATACTATTAATCCCCCTCACAACGGATAGATAATTTCTTCACTGAATAGGTGAGGACCATGAGGTTCACAGAAGTTCAATACCCTGCCTTTCTCAGTTAGACAAACAGTGGGTGGCAAAGCTTAGCCTTGTGGGCAGAGTTTCAGATGTTCCTTCTGCACTATGACCCCTCTCTTCTCTAAACAAAGTCATGGATGGCGAACAGAAAGATCCCATTTGTCTCGGGGTATTGGGGAAGCCAATGAGTAGAGGCAGTAAATGCGAGACTGCGGGCACTGGTTCCGCGGGCACAGTGCCCGCCTGGAACCCTGACTCCAGCACTTCTTAGCTGCGTGGCATGGACACATCACCCTCCTTTTATGAAGGGCATTATCATGGGACCTAGCTTAAAGGGTCTGGGGGCAAGAAAGGAGTGGGTATTTGTAAAACACTAAAACAGAGCAGAACATGGCACACAGTAACTGCAATAAAAGTGCTTGCTATTAGAAGAGATGACATAGAGAAGAAATAAGTCAATATATCTCCCACAGCCAGATAACAAAATGTGAAACTTAGTTCATCTATGCCAATCATTTAAAACCTGAAGAAGGCTTTAACTTACGACCGAACACGGGCTGACAGCACTTCCCCCATTCGTGCACAAGTGTGGAGCTATGGAACCTCTCCGAAGGGCTGTCTGAAGAGTAGGACTTCAAATCAGACGGTTGTGGCTGGTATTGCCTATTTCCAGCTAGCACATGAAACAAAACCGTTATCTCATTAATGGAAAATCACATGGACAGGTCTGGCCCTCGGTTTTATTATTATTCACCTATAAGTAAAGGATAATCGAAAGCAAAAGGTTTACATCTCAAACTTAAAATATGTTACTTAACCTATCAATTATTTTCCAACCACATTCCATGATACCCACAACTTTGACCAGGCAGCTCAAATCGGGAAAATAAGAGCTTCTGCTTATGGCTCACCTACTAGGCCGTGGGTGCCCTTCATGCATTGTCCCCAAACCCTACAACAACCAGTCAGAAGTAGATACTACTCTCTCTGTGTCACATTTGCAAAAATCGACTCATTAATAACTTGCCAAAGGTCACACGGCTTTTCCGGGGAAAATGGTATTTGAACCCAGGTCTTCATTTAAATCCAGGGCCCACAGCACTCTGCCACTATAAGCAGGACCATGCAATAAAATGAGAGGTGACAGAAACATGAGATGTGTCTATTTCACGACCTTCAGTACATCTAAAGCAGAATTTCAAAAATATAATAAAAAACATAGGTTCCAGAAAAATCATTAGCATAGCTATCCAAAATCACAACAGACTCAGAATTTTATCTGCTGGGTCACCCCTGGCAATGCAGGATGGCTGAGCAGGTGTGGATCAGACCCAGGCCTCCTGATGGCTTGCTATCACCAGAGCTATGTTCCGTGAGTGCAGTCTGATTTTGCAACCCCATGATCAGGAAAATCAACACTGCCTGTCTGAATACATGAGTAGAAGAATGGGACCTCTGTTTTTGCAAGTATTAAGTGCCAAGAGTACATGCAAAGTTGGTTTGTGGATGAGGGTCGAAGTAGTCTTGCCCATGTTTCCAGCCCATCGGTGGCATGACTGACCAACCCAAAGAGAAAGTCCCCCCACCTCAGCAGGCTCTCATCCCAACCTGGTGTCTGCCTCCCCGCCCCCCCACCCCCCGCCCCGCCGCCCTGCAACCCCTTCTTGCTCCAGCTCTCTTTTGTCTCTCCTGACCTCTCACTCCTTGTCTCCTCTGTGACTACCAGTCTGGCATTCTGATAGATTGGCTTCACTGGCTCTCAACCCTCCTACTTTGTTCCACAGTCTGAGGCTTGACTCCTACATCCTGGCACAGGGCTTGTTTCTTTCTGCACTCCTGGTAACCAAGCTCTTTGGCACTGTCCCAGGACCCCCTCCTGTGATCCACTCAGCTCGGCTAGACCCTGTAAATACGGCTTGTCACGCCGAACTCTGCATCCCCTCCCCACTTCTGGCCTCGGAGGGCCATGCCCTGGATGTCACCTCACCCATGCATGGTCTATGGAGCACCTGTGGAATTCAGCTGGTGCGGCTCCAGCCCCCGCAGTCTCTCCGCCCTGCTAATGCGCGCTGGGAGAGGCAGTACAATTCTGAGAGTGAGAAACGCCAGCGTACCACGGCCATTAGGGAGCCCACTGGCAGAGTTCACTGCCGGCTGGGCACAGAACATGTCCACCCTGGCACAGTGACCAACAGCAGTTCCAGAGGGCTGCCCCCAACAGAACTGCCCGCCACTCCACTAGAGACCCTGCCGGGCTCCTGGGCCTCCTGCTACATCAGGAGCACTTTATGATCCCTCATGTTGTCTACTTCCTAGTCTTTGCATGCCTAGTAAGGCCAAGAAATTCACAGTGCCCCGAGTGGAGTGAGGGTCCACTCGGGGCGCTGCCCATAAGAGCCACATTAATATAGGAAAGTCCTAGTGGGGGGAAGGGACGGCAGGAGCCAACATTCGATCCCCACCTCTAGCAGGCCTGAGGACTCCTCAAATGCTCTGTGGCTGGGTTATGACTTGTCCTGCAAGCCTTTTCTGGAACAAGCCTTCAGTTCAAAGATGATTTGGTGGCACACCTGCAGGAGTCATTCAAGAAACAGTTGAGCGTCTGCTCTGAGCTTTGTGCTGTCCTGGGCAATGGAGACACTGCGGTCAACAACTCAGGTGCCTGTCCCCGGGGGGCTCACAAACTCGTGGGGGATGCAGATATTGGAAAGTCTTACGAGTCTTTCCAACAATATAAATGTTATAAAAGAGAAGGATAAAGTACAGAGGAGCTCACAGAAGGAGACAAATCTGCTCTAGGAACTCAGAGAAAGCTTCCTGGGGAAAGTGATACTTCTGATGGCATTTGAAGGATTAGCAGGTGGAAGGGGGTTGAATGGGGTTGGAGAAGTGGGGAGAAAAGCATTCCAATCAGCTGGAACAGCATAAGGGAAGGGCCTGAAAGAGTGGAGTATGCTGAAAAAAGAAAAACTGAAAGAAGGCTGGTATGTTGGGTTATAGAAAGAAAGAAAAATGAGAGGTGAGACTGAAGATACAGGCGGGGGCCTGTCTCTGGGGCCACGGAAGAGTTTTTTTTATTTAGCCTCAGGGGAATGGGAAACAAAGGGTTTTGGTCAAGGGAATGACATGCACAGAAAGATGGCTCTGCTCCTCACCTAGGAGTGAATTAGGTGTGGTGGAGGGAGAAGGCGGGCGTACACAGTGGGTATGGAGTGTGAGGTGCCAGCTGTCAACACCAGCCCTGCCGCCTTCTACCCCCCGGCTCTTGTCCCAGGTCAGCAACTTGGGAAGGACGTTTGCCCCTGGCCCTCACCCACAGGGTTCCAGCTTAGACTGTGCCCATAAGAAGCCCCTGTGCATGATGTGGGAAGTGGAAAAGACACACCATACGCCTTCAGTGGCAGCTGGGTGTGGATGTGAGGTTTACAAAGGCTTCCAGGGAAGCTCCTGCAAGTCAGCCTCTTCGGCAAGGCAGGCAGCTGAGCTCGATGGCATCCAGCGTTCCCTGAAGCTTCTGACTGTCAACGTTTCTCGGAGGTCAGCAGCAGTTTTTCCGCAGTCTTGATTACCCCAGCTTTTGTATCCAAAGGTTATGCCCGCTTCTAATCCCTCTGTTAAGTCCCTCCTGCCTGAGATATCTAAAGTGGTTTCCGTTTCCCTTACTAAACCCTAGCTGCTAGGCAGTTAAGTTCTCGCAGTATTTGGGTGTGAGATTAGGTGGGGCTTGGTCTAGAGTGTAGGCACTGAGGACGGAGGGGGGCGGGGGGGGGAGGATGGATTCAATGTGTATTTAAGAAGTGGAATCTATAGGACATCGTTATTAATTAAATGGGGGGAGTGAGAGAGATGGAGGGATCAAAAATGACCACTAAGTTTCTTTTTCTAAGCTCAGGCAGTCCTGCTAAACTTGCCATCTGGTCCATAGAGCTGAAAGGGATGCAGACGTCGGGCCGCCCCAAACAGCCAGCCTGGCCTGGCCCCCTTCCAGATTAGAGAGCCGAGGCCAAGAAATGAACTAAGGAAGCTGACAGGATGATGGTGGAGAGATGTGCCCTTTTGCAGGATGTGAAAATCTATACCCTGGAGGTTATGAGCCACTGTAATGAGTTATCATCTTTTCCAAAACTGCTCTAGCCTGCTCTGGAGCAGACGAACTTAGTTAAACCAAGCTGTGTCCAAATTTCAACCTGGGGCAATGAGCAAGCTAACTGGGGTCAGGGGTGAGGGGTGAGCGCCTGGGATGGAGCAGAAGCTTCTTACCAGAGACACCAGAGGGTGTGGAGCACCAAGGAGGAAAACCAAATGTTCATCCACAGGATGAAGTTTAGATTCAATTACCAAAGAGAGAAAGTTCAAACCCTAAGCCACACGGGGAGAAGGTCACAATACGTGTCATAGGAGCTGACAGAATCACAGACAGCAGATCAAGAGCATATAATGTGAAGCTGTATATACTTGCAGAGGATGCTGTTGAAGAGGCATTCCCACCAGTATCAGGGAGGCAGGCCAAACTGGGGGAGGGTAATGATGGTCTAGACAGCGTACGGGAGCAGGGCAGACAGCATTCGCCTCGCCCTTCTCTCCATCCAGGAATGTTTTGATTACAGGAGAACAAGGCTTACCCATAAGCTGAGGTCACTGACTATACTTTCTGGAATGATTTATAAAGTGCATTAGTAGAGAAGCACAGCTGTAAGTGCATCTCACCTGCACCAAAGCGGAGGTTCCTGAGTACTGCCTTTGGAACATGCAGAGGCTTTAGGATAACTACTCGGGTTTCTTCAGTGATCTCTCCCCTTTAACAAAGTGTGATCTATTAGATCGTAAGGTCACTGAAGACGAGGTTCGACACTGAATCCCTAATGCCCATCCCAGCTCACAGCCTCTCTCAGCACGATAGATATTCCAGTGGACTAACCACAATTCTCACCCACATGTCTGTGGGGGGATCCACCCAGAATTCCAACTCACATGTCAGGACCCCACCACACAGGCTCAAGAATGCCTCATCCCTCCATCCTCCTCATCTCTCAACTACTCTAACCAGCCTCCGGCGGTGGCTCCCATGACCTAGAGGGGCTTCACCAAGGAAGGTAGAAGGCTGGGCTGGGTGGGGGGTGGATTCCCTCCAGGGTTGAGAGGAGAAGATGCCTGTTTGAATCCTAGACTCCAGGTAGTGACAACACCCAGCAGCATACCTTAGGTTCCCTGTTGCCTGGCTTCGCTATTTACTACATGGCAATGACAAGTTACCTAAAGTCTCTAAACTTGAGTTTTTCCATCTACAAAGTGGAGTTGATGGTGCCTAGATCCAAGAGTTGAGAGAACTAAATAAGGTCTGTAGGACAACTGCCTGAATACCTGTGCACACTAACATGCCCCAGAGATGCCTTCTCTTACAGGGTTCACTTCTCCATTCCAGCCTCAGAGACTGGCCCCTCGCCTCCCCTTCCACTGCACTCACCTCCCTCTCCTCTCCTCCTTCATCTACTTAAGAACCCAAGTCAATCACAAAGCTCTGCTGATCTTCTGACCCTGAGGCCGTTGTGGCCTCCTCCTGTGTGGCTCAAAGTAGATGAAGAGCAAAGTCCTAGCTACAAGCAGGTGGACACTATCGGAGAGCGCATTTCTGCGGGGAGTTGCTTTCTTCAACCCAAATGCCAGGGGCAGAAGGCAGAGCTATGCAGACAGAACAACCAGAGGACAGATGCCGCTACATAAAAAGAAGACAATCATTTCCCAGAAAACATGCAGCTGCAGTTTGCGTTCTACGGGAAGAAGAGCAAACCCTGTTAAATTCCCTCCCTAAGCAGATTTCTGTAATTATTAGCACTTAAGAATACAGATGTTAAGGAGCTTGTGCTTAAGGAGCTAGTTAAGTTTGGGCAATTGCAGATGGAAAGACTGAAAATTTTCTGAAATTGGTATTAAATACCCTCAAACAATAAAGGGACACTGCCAACACATATGGCATAGAAGAGAAAGAAGACCCACTGATGCAAAAAAGAAGAGGACCTGAACAAGCCATTTCCTTTAGTCAGACCACCACAGAGATGGCTAGTGCCAACCCAATATCCATTCTCTGCTCCCTTTGTACTAAAAGAACCCCTACATTATTGGAGAACCTCAACTAGAAAACTGTACTTCTACATAGATATAAGCAGAAGTTATTGGGTGAAAATTATAAGAAAAGTTATTGGGTGGAAATTATAAGAAAAGCTCAGACACTGCTCTTAACTGATACATCTAGCCTAGATTTCCATCAGTTTCCTTGTCAATGAGGATTATAAGTTAATATCAGAACCATATTACTTTTTTGGATAATTAGATACGAATTCTTGCTTTAAGTTAGCTGTCGAATAAATTTTACCAATAGTTCTAAGTGTAGATTAAATCCTCCTTAGCTAATCTTTTTGTTGCCTTTATAAAGTACCAGACTCTGTTAGCAGATGGCTCTCTGCCCTGGGCCGACACCATCTGAAATCACTATCCAAGGACCATGCCTATAACGGGCAGGTGAGATAAATGGTTGTCTAGTACTTCTTATTCCTAGTTGTGTTTCACAATGCATAAACATGTATCTCTTTGAAAACTTTCTACAGATCTTCATCAGCAGTAACAAGGGGGGAAAAAGGAGTCCAAAGACCCCATCTTAATGCAGCTTCTCTGGATTCCACTATCCAGCTAGTCCAGGAGAATCCAGAGAGAGGTAGGGATCACTTTGTGGAAATCCTTATGGGCTTTCACGTGCTCCACACTCTACTTTTCTGGGTTCAATCAGAATTTTAAGCACATGGGCACCCAGAGAGACCAGGCAGATACTTAAGGAGAGGAGAGCCAGGGAGATCCCCCTTATAGTTGTCTCTGTCCTAGTTGTCTTTTGTATGTGATCACTCTAGGAATTTGAAGCATATATTAAATTCAGGATAACCTGCATGAGTGTTTGTGATAATCACATAAATACAAAAACACAAAGGTTTCAGCAGTGATAAAATTCATTTCCTCTACTTCCTCTTACCTGCTCCTTGGTGCTATGTAAAGACAAGTAAGTGCATAAACGTCTCGAGCAGTGTTAACATAAATATAAAACGTGATTCATTTGTATGTTTACAACCACAGACACATTAATTGGTAGTCTACAGAAAGACTTCAGTTCTTTTACAAATTAAACAGAGACACTTGTGTTGTTCCTGCTAATTTGCTGAGTATGGAACTCCAAAACCCAACCTTCTATTCTGGGATTTTAAATCTGGTACCTTCACAAAATAGCATTATCAATATTGAGAAGTTATATTTGGCTTCTGGAGAGTAGCACTGGGGCTTCCCTCCCTTCTAAGATCCTTGCATCGGGTGGCCTTCTTTCTGTGTTATGCCTGACAACACTAACGTTTCTCTGCTGAAAGCAGCGTGCATGCCCCGAGAAAGGACTCCAGGGGAAGTTTTAATTTACCCCTAATCTATCATCCCACTCTACCTCCAACCCCACCCCACCCCCCGACCCCCGCCGCCTTCATTTTAGCATTAACCGTAAACTTTTTACTTCAGATTTTTATGAACTCTGCTTCATGGGATCCCTTTCCCTTTTTGATGTAAAACGATGTAGAGTAACTGTAAATTTTCTGTCCACCACCCAAAACAGAGGTGATTAAGAAAGACATCTGCCCTCTAACAGGGTATTTTCACAGCAGTACGGGCAAGAAGATTCACACCCTCGGGCAGCTCTGGGGTCTTTAAGGCTATTAGAGATGGGCACTTAGTTTGAATCGGACTGGGAATCCCAAAACACCCTAGTCACCTCCCGGGAGAGTGGTATGGCTTGCAGAACCCTAGAGGCAGAAAACCTCTCTTCTTTATGGAAACTTTAATCCTCTCAGGAGAGTTCAGTTTCTGCTGGAAATCCAAGACTTTGCAAGCAAACAAGATAAGACCTTCCAAAGTCACAAGGTGAATATAATGAGCGTAGCGCTCAGAATACTTACGTGGGGGTGGGGGAAGGGGGTGGCAACTGGGATAAGTGTTCCCTTTCATTAGCGTCTCTATAGGTAGTGATTTCCCTACTTAACCAAAGAAAAGCAATGGAAGCAGTTTCCCCCTCGCCTATTAAAAGGAGAAAGATGGGTATCTTTAATTGAAAGCAAGCCATCACAAAATTCTCTAATTATAGCCTCAAAGGGGTTTCAAGCTCATGTTGTATCTCCTTCGCTTTCAGCAGGACAGCATTAAACCTTCCTAAAAAGATAAGACTCAACCTATTTTTAAACATACCCAAAGAGTGCATTCTAGTCTTCTGTTCCTTTGTTAGACAGGGGAGTTTTTTTTCCCCTTTCTAACCTCACCACAGGTGAACTTTTGCTATTACTAACCTGAAGTCTTCACATTAGAGTTCGGCTTGGTTTGCTCAGTGGAAATGGTGAACAGCTGGTCAACGTTAGCCTTTTCTACACTGTACTTCCATGTGTCCATCTGTATGAAATTATAACAATTAATTAGGAGATTTGGGTTTAAATCAATAAATTTGGAGCTAGATGCCAATGCAATCACTGACAAAAGACTGCCCCCATTCTTTCTTTCATACTTTCTTTCTCTGCCATCTATTCCAATGCTAACATCTCTCCCTTTCCCACCTCTCTTCCAACAATGCCCCCCCCCACACACACATACACACTACAACAAATGTGCACACTGACACTGGTAAATTGCTTAAAACACCTGTGTTTTTAAAACACAGCTACTTAACATTCAGACCTTGGCCCTATTACCCCACCACCAAGGGGTATTAATAGTTAAGAGCACAGACTCTGGAGCTCACTGTCTGTGCTTAAATCCTGGCTCTGGGAGCATAGGCACATTTATTTCTATCTCCCAACATACCTACTTTGTCATCTGTAGAATGGAGGCAATAATAGGATCTACCTTATAAGGTTGTGGAAAAGATTAATGAGTTCATACCAAAAAGGTCCCTAAAGTGGTTTTCTGGTTCTCTAATTGCAAATGCTATATGTTAGCTATTGTCATACCCTCCTTGCAGCAAAAGGACATTAGAAAGCATTAAACTATGCCCGATATTCCAGAAGGCAAGAGTTTGAGAAAAGGAGTAGGACTCGGGTTTTAAAGGAAGTGGATAAGCAAGAAGAGTTACCCAGGTGAACAATGAAAGAAAAAAGACAAAAAACAAAGAAGGATAAAAGTAAAAACGAAAGAGGAAGAACAAAAGCAGACCTTTCATGGGGAAAAGGTAGAAAGAGGAAAACATAAGGGAAAAGAAGAAAAGAAAAAGAAAAACTAGTAAAAAGATGGGCATGGAAAGGAAAGAAGAAAAGGAGGACGGAGAATCACAAAGGAAACCAAAAAATTAGAAAGGACTCCATCCGCAGTTTGGGCTGGGCCTCAGAAAGAGAAAGGACTGGAAGAGAAAACAAAAATGTCGGCATGGTAGGGAAGCTTGGGATAGGATGAGGAGATCCAAGTAATAACACAAAAGGCTTCATTTGCAGCCACAGGCCTCTCCATCTTCCAATGATGAGAAGTGTACATCCAACATTAACACACCCATGATCCACTAGTCTTCTTTCCCTTTTCCTCCTCTTCTAAACTGCTTTAGAGTTGGCCCCAGAATTAGGCCCTAAGGCTGGCCCTAGTCAGCTGTCTGCCTTGTGTCTTGTCTGCTCTACCGACAAGACCAAGATGAAGTGACCCAGACCTTCTTCTTTTCACTAAGTAGTCTATCTATCCTTTTCAAGGGAACATTTAGCTGTGGAGCAAACACTTATACCCTCGTCCTACTTCGAACATTCACAAACCTATAAGGGGAGGTTTCACCTTAAAGGCATCCTCCTCCTCCCCCTCTTTCGGGTCAATTTAGAAGAAGCAGAGAGTACTGCAGGCATATGCCACTTGTAGGGCATCAAAGTGCCCTCCCCACTAAAGAGAAATAACCACTCAATGACTTGGAAACAAGAGAGAGGTTGAATAGAGGTTTAAAATCAAATCAGTATTTAAAAATTACTTCTTCTAAGTATTCTCCTTAAACGGCCTGTTTGGTGCAAACTACGTCCCCGTATTTGAGGAAGTCGAGAGACCTTCAAGGGCCCTCTCCCGAGACGAAGTGGACGGACCGCGAGCGTCTCCTCTTGCCGGGGTGAGCCTGGGCCGCCGCCGCCGCCGCCGCCGCGGGAGTCACGAAGCCAGACGCGGCGCGTCTCCGCCCAGGACTCGGGAGACTGCAGCAGCGCGCGCCGTGGCCGCGGCCCGGGCGGCTCCTGGAGGCTGGGAGGAGACGCGACTCCCGCAGACACGTGACCTCCTCCCAGCCGCCGCTTCCCGCGACCCAGATCCGTCCCCGGAACCCGCGCTGTGCGGGGCGGGCCGGGGTGGGGGTGGGGGGGACACGTAGCGACGGCCCCAGTCCCTGCTGCGCCCCTGTGCGTGTTCCTTCGGCGTACTTCTCCCCTTGGTTCACGCGCCGCTGGCAGTAAGGAAGGTTTCGGGGATAACCCAGGAGAATTGAACCTTACTCTTGCTGCAGGAAGGAAAAACCTTTGATTTTTATATCTATCTACTTATATAAGAGAAATCAACATATATTCTCTCCTTTCCTCCCCCAGCAGAGCCGAGTGGCGGCAGCAGCGGGGCGGGAGCCCTGGGAGTCCCGCAGGACGAGATTCCCCACCCACCCACCTACCCCCCCCCCCCGGCCTCCAAGGCCCCTGGTCGCCCGCTGCGTCGGGCGGCGTGGGCAGTGCGCATCTCTGGGCACCTCTTGGTAACTCTCGCTAGCAGTGAGTCATGCTCCCGGGATGGCTCTGGGGAAAGATAACCCGGCTCGTGCTGGCTTGCGCTTCCCCGCGCCGAGCGCCGCTGCTACAGGGCGAGCGCGCGCGCGCACGGGTTCCCCGCGCAGTGATGTGGCAGCAGCGGCAGGTCGGATCACGTTGCTGGCCCTGTGCTGGTACCCGTTTGAGACAGGATTAAGGAGGGAGGCTTTGGAGGTGCCAGCGGTAGTAAACGTGGGCTCTGCACACTCCCGGCGTCGCTTATCACGCCGCGGGGGGCGGGGGGCTTGGTGGGGGGGGAGAACCACGCAGCAGCACCCGAGGCGATGAGGGGCGACGGAGTTTAGCTGGCGAGCGATAATGCTGCATTGCTTTTCCGCGGTAGCCCCTCTTGTGCCACCTCTCCTCCCCCCTCCCTCCCGCCGCGTTCCTCTGGGAGCACCAGAGGCCCCAATCGTCGTCATCTGTTTCTGTGATTAGTGGCACCGCAATTCCGGCTGCTGCGGGAAGTTTGGGTGGCTCAGGGACACCGTGTCGCCGAAAGACACTTGGATTGCGACATTCTGACCCAGTGACTACATTTTCATTTATTTTAAATCCTTCAGGGAGCGGATTTCAAGTTGCCCCATTAAGGGGCAACCTCCAACCGGGGCCAAGGGGTCCCCCCAGGCCACTGAGCGATGAGCAAACAAGTCTCCACATGTTCCTTCGGGACTGAAGTTTACCCACCGTGAATTCTCTTTCCTTTCTCTGGTCCAAACCACCAGTGCAGTCGGTGGCGAAGCAAAAAGCCACGTTCACGTTCCTGCACCGTAATGACGGACGAACTGAGGGAGTAGCATTTCCGAGCCGAGGAAGCCCGGGCTGCCCCGCACCCCCGGCGCCTCCTCCCCCTCCCCCAGCGGACTGCAACGCCTTTGGGAAGATGAATAGCTTGGCCGAAGTTGTTTTTCCTTTCCGGTGGCCCTGATCAGGTGTCCCCGCCCCCTCCTGCCTTTCGCCTTCCCTCACAGCCTGCTCCCGACACCCCCTCCTGGCCCGGCCCCTCCTCCCCCGCCCCCCTCCGGGCTGGACCGCGGATGGTACGTTCCGCACGTGAGCTGGGTGCTGGTCTGGCCGGCGACGCGCGTGCCCTGTGGCCAAACACTGCCCGGAGTGAGAGCAAACTACCAGCGCAGTGGGGCCGGCGCGAGTGTGCGTGCGTGTGTGTGCGTGTGTGCGAGAGAGCGAGCGCGGTGGGAGGGGGGGAACCAACTGCTTCACACTTTCAACACTGCACTGAAGAAGGGAGAGAGAGAGAGAGACTGGAGACGCACAGATCCCCCCAAGATCTCCCAAAGCTATCGTCCCACAGATTATAGAACAGAACCCCAAAAATCGAAACAGAGGAAACGGACAGCGGTTGAACATGGACGAAGGAATTCCTCATTTGCAAGAGAGACAGTTACTGGAACATAGAGATTTTATAGGGTAAGGTGCACGCACCCTTGCGAATATCTGTCTAGGCTTCAGAGTGATTTTTTTTCTTCTCCAGAAAGTGGTATGGAGCGGGCAAGGGCAGTGCCCCTCCCCGAATGGGTGCCTGATGCTGATTTCTGTTTTGCAGACTGGACTATTCCTCTTTGTATATGTGTAAGCCCAAAAGGAGCATGAAGCGAGACGATAGCAAGGTAAGTGTAAGTTTCCGATGTTCCCCATAACCTGCCTGGATAGTTAATTAGGGTCATTGATTTCACAGCGAAGCTCTGCCCGCAAATATATTCCAGCCCTTGAGCTTCCCCAACTGTGAATTTTAAGCGGTTTGCTGGATACTCTCAGGGGGAGATTAAACATCACACCTGAATTCAAATTGCATTTCAGAACAGTCCAGAGGAAAAGGTTTCTTGGGCATAGTTTATCACATAATATGGGGGGGTTTTCTGAGGGGGGGGGGGTTATTGATTTATCCAATAAAGTGTAGCTTATTGTTTTCTTTCTTCCATGATTGTCGTATATTAAGGATACCTACAAATTACCGCACAGATTAATAGAAAAGAAAAGAAGAGATCGAATTAATGAATGCATTGCTCAGCTGAAAGATTTACTGCCTGAACATCTGAAGTTAACAGTAAGATGCACATTTTCATTCTTTGCTGCTCTCCAAGGGCGTGTTAATAGCTTGGTACTACTCCCAGAGATATAAGAATAAATGTAAATATCATATGCCTTACAACTTGTGCTGTAGTGTAGAGTTTCCCACAAACTCAAGAGTAGGTGCTCACAACTGAAGGCAAGAAATCATGTATAACCCGTCTTCTGGAAAGCTCAAGAAGTATAGGAATAGCACTTCTTTCAGAATGTTTGCTTAAGTTGCTGTGCTGAGTGGAGAGCCAATCAAGCCAAATGTGTGTTTTTGAGTAACCAAGTGCCCCCTTCTCTTTTGCACCACTGCAGACTCTGGGGCATCTGGAGAAAGCGGTAGTCTTGGAATTAACTTTGAAACATTTAAAAGCTTTAACAGCCTTAACCGAGCAGCAGCATCAGAAGATAATTGCTTTACAGAATGGTAAGTCAGTTCAGGGAGGCCAACCCACCCTGATGAAGCTGGGCAGCCCACAGAGGGGCAGTGTTTAGGACTCTGCCCCCACCCCCTTCCTTGGGCCCACGGGCTCACTCTCATTTGTTAAATTGCTTATACTTTCCCTTCATTGGAAAGTGCCCATTTCCCGAAGCATCCCAGAGGCTTTCAGCAGCTCAGAGGAATCAGATTTTTCTTTAAAGTCGCGGTTGCGCTCTCCACTTTGGTTTTTCAGCTGGGAATAGGGCGCCCCCTTGCTCCCCACCCCCGCCACCACCCCCCACCCCCCTACCCCGGCAACCGGTGGATTATATCACCCGAATACAGAGGAAAAACCGAGATCACTTTAGTCAATGTAGGGCCCACGTGATAAGCAGATGTTTTAACGTCGGTATTTTTCTTCTTGCCTCCATTCCTCTGCCCCCACCCCCACCCCCTTCCTCATCCTAGGGGAGCGATCTCTGAAATCGCCCATTCAGTCCGACTTGGATGCGTTCCACTCGGGATTTCAAACATGCGCCAAAGAAGTCTTGCAATACCTCTCCCGGTTTGAGAGCTGGACGCCCAGAGAGCAGCGGTGTGTCCAGCTGATCAACCACTTGCACGCCGTGGCCACCCAGTTCTTGCCCACCCCCCAGCTGTTGACTCAACAGGTCCCTCTGAGCAAAGGCACCGGCGCGCCCTCGGCCGCCGCCCCAGGGTCCGCGGCCGCCCCCTGCCTGGAGCGCGCCGGGCAGAAGCTTGAGCCCCTCGCCCACTGCGTGCCGGTCATCCAGCGGACTCAGCCCAGCGCCGAGCTCGCCGCCGAGAACGACACGGACACCGACAGCGGCTACGGCGGCGAGGCCGAGGCGAGGCCGGACCGCGAGAAGGGCAAAGGCTCCGGGGCGGGCCGCGTCACCATCAAGCAGGAGCCCCCCGGGGAGGACTCGCCGGCGCCCAAGAGGATGAAGCTGGATTCCCGCGCCGGCGGCAGCGGCCTGGGGGGCGGCGCGGCGGCGGCGGCGGCCGCGCTCCTGGGGCCGGACCCGGCCGCCGCGGCAGCGCTGCTGAGACCCGACGCGGCCCTGCTCAGCTCGCTGGTGGCGTTCGGCGGAGGCGGGGGCGCGCCCTTCGCGCAGCCCGCCGCCGCCGCCGCCGCCGCGGCCCCCTTCTGCCTGCCCTTCTACTTCCTCTCGCCTTCGGCGGCCGCCGCCTACGTGCAGCCCTTCCTGGACAAGAGCGGCCTGGAGAAGTACCTGTACCCGGCGGCGGCCGCCGCCCCGTTCCCACTGCTGTACCCCGGCATCCCCGCGCCGGCGGCCGCCGCCGCAGCCGCCGCCGCCGCCGCCGCCGCCGCTGCCTTCCCCTGCCTGTCCTCGGTGTTGTCGCCCCCTCCCGAGAAGGCCAGCGCCGCCGCCGCGACCCTCTTGCCGCACGAGGTGGCGCCCCCTGGGGCGCTGCACCCCCCGCACCCGCACGGCCGCACCCACCTGTCCTTCGCCGGCGCCCGCGAGCCCGGGAACCCGGAGAGCACCGCTCAGGAAGATCCCTCGCAGCCAGGAAAGGAAACCCACTGAATCTTCGCCCCCTTTCTTAGACAGGACGAGGGTTCACGCGGAATGATAATATTAATAAGTTGAAACACCCTTAACGTTTTTAAGGGAGGAAGTGTAATAGATGCACGACAGGCTTTTAAAACAACACAGGTGTTTCGTGTACATTTGGAGTTCCTGTTTTGCTCATCCCTCACCACCCCACCCTCCGCACACTAACGTCCCTTTCTTCCCCCACCAGCTCTAAAAGAACCTCTGCGATATTGATACTTTCTTCTTTAAAGAATTCGCCCAAATAAGTTTTGCCTTCCTTTAGGCCATGTTCCATTATCTTTTAAAATACAGAACCTAATTCTGGAGGAAGAAGGGTCTGCTCTGTGGGTGCGCTGATTGAACCAAGGTAGGGGAAAGGTGGCGGAGGAGTTGACCTCCAACAGCCAGCAGGTAGTTATTATCTGCCTTTCGCAGAGCTGTCCCACCGGCTTCAGGAGGCTTTCCACAACCAGTAAGAGGATCTTTTAGAATTGAATTTACTCTTCAGTATTTTATAATGTTCAGCTTTTTTTAAAGGCGTATATTTTTCAAAGAGGAAGAAGTG